CGATTTGTTCTAAGTAAATGCTTTTTTGATGAGCTGTCTTGGATCTAGACAGACTCCTTATGTGCTCAGTCATAAGGGTAATTTCACTGAAGACCAAATCGTTATCCAACGGTAAACATTTTTAATTCTGATTTAACTTTCAGAGGTTGATCCCTACATTGCTGCCTACATTCCTCGAGAGAGTAAGCTTAATTTACGGCACCTCAACCTTTTGTTCAAGCAAAAATGCATTTTACGGTGAACAGTTTTTTCAAGCCAAATATCTGCTTGAATGATTTGTTATGTTTTCATGCAAGACTACCATTCGTTTTGATTGTTTTTTTTGTCCCCCTTATTCTCAGTCAGAAAGCGAGAATATTCACGTCCAATAGAATATTTTGTATAATTTTAACATATATTGTTTGTATCAACATTAAGAGGGTGCAAAGTTCCCAACTGTTTGTAAGATTCTGGAGAATCTGACCATGCTGATATGCCTGCAATTTATTTGCCCGGAGCAACTTCATGCACAGACGCTCCTTGTCAATAATTTAAGGGGATTTTGAGATCTTATTTAAAGTGCCACATTAGTGGCACTTAGTGAAGTCATTAGTGAAGTCAGTCTGTATTTAGAAGCATTGTACGGCGGCTTTACACTTATTGGCAATTGTCGGCAGAGAACACGCACGAGGGTCGAAATTGCAAAGTTCCATTTAGTTGTAAGACTGATTCGCGAGTGATCAGTAGGGTATATGAAGTCGATCATCCTTCAACCATAAGATTTCCGCCAGGCCCCACATTGACTTTGTTCTTCTGTTTTAACATTTGGCGTAAGAGTTTATCAGAAAACCCATAAAAAGCTCAAAATGTTGGATACCACTGTTTATTTGGTAGAAAAATCTGGGCACTGAATGCGGTTTTTAAGCAAAATGCACTTTTCCGCTTGCTCTGAAAAAAGTTACGAGAAAAAAATGACCGAATTATGGATGCGCAAAACCGATCTGTCCCATGCCTACCGGAGGGCATTTGCTTTCATCGTTACGGAAACGATCAATACAATCAGTATTAAACGGATACCAGGAAATCCCGATATTGTATGAATCATTAGCATGTCTAAGTAGAATATGACGAAAAGGCCCGATTCGACGCATACATAAGCTAACATATTCTGCGACCTGATCTAAACGTGTTGAAACACTGTTTATCCATAAAACAAAAAGCACCAACTGTTGCCAAACAGCCAAACAGACTCACGGTCCCGAAATTAGATGTTGGACATTTCAATTTCTAGACCAAATGGGTCTTAAATTAAGGGAGCATTTTTTCCGCCTGAACATTCTTCAGAAATGTTTGGTGGCGCTGGGCACAGCACTCGAGGTTTTGACCCTTAAGAATGAGACTTTGGTGACCACAACGTTATTGCAAGAGGTATAGACCAATAATGACTTATTGAATTTCCTGGTTAAACTTTCGTTCAATAGAATTTATCCTGGTGGCGCCGTTTGATGAAGAATTCTGCCAGAAGGTACGTGCTCGAGGGTTCTTACGAATGCGAATTAATCACCAGAAGATTCGAAGAAATCACCACCTCCAGACTATTCAATAAGTGATCCGCTAAAACTACGACGATTAAATTTGCATAAGCTAGCTTGTATTATTTCGTTTTCAGATCATCGATAATAGGTTTTACGATGAGCACCTAAAGGTCAAAAGCTGCAACCTCTTGGAAAAAAGTGACGAGCCAATCGATGGACACATTCTTGGCAAATATAACATTACATTATGGGAGAAAAGGAAGCCACTCGCATGGTTTGAATACCATGATATATACATCTTCTTTCTTCGAGAACTAAACGCTCCGGGAGGAGCCTGTGATCACAATGGATATTGGGCTCGGCCCCTGTTCAACTGTAAGTCTAGCTAAAAGGAAACATACTACAGAGAAAAATTTAAACTGTCAACTAGCCCATCCATTTCTATCGCGAATGAAAAGAACAGATCTCGACAAAGTGCTTGTGAATCCAGGTCATATTTTCGCCTTTCTATTTTTCAAAACTATCTCTAAGCCTCCATCGGCGAAAGGTTTGCAAGAGATTTTATATTACAGTTTCTACTTCACTAACATATCAGTTTTTTTCTCGTAATTCTAGGAAATGTAAGCGCGCACCTTGCGGAGAATTTGGGATTACACGACACTAAGTCGGCGTATTGTGTGCTGCTTAGGAGATTTATATTCCATCACAAATACACCGACATTCAGCTACCATTCGGCAAATCGGTGCAAAATTCACAAAATTACTGACATTCTAGGGAGTACTGAGCACTGAGATGATAAACCACGTAAATATCGCACCGCAACTGAAAATCCCGTACAAGACGGGTTTAATTCTGCCTGTTTCCTCTTCACTATGCAGTCAGCTGACCAGGATGTCTGACTGACAATAAAATACCCATGACTGATCGATTCCCTTTTGGGCAGATTGCTTGTTGCACTTTTTTGTTAGATCATTCTAACTTGCTAGGTTGCAAACATCCAAAACACCCTATACACAGATGAGAAAATATATATAAAATGACTTACTTTTCAATGGACTCAATTCATATGAAAATCCAGATGCACTGTAGCCAAAATGACAAAACATCACACTGAGCCGATTATACATTGCTATGCAGACTCCATCACTGGAAATTTTTCGTATATATTTCCTATTGTAAAGAATAAATGGAAGTGGAACTGATCTTCTTTCGGTTGCCTGTACGGGATTCTGGCATAGAAAACCGATTTTTGACATTGTAACCAAAGTTGAAAACACTCAAACTTTCAGCTCAAGAAGACGAAGGCTTTGAATGCAACGGCGAAGGGGTCGCTAGTCTGTGAAGACCATGTATCCTGCAACGCTTTATCCTCATTGCACTTTTTGGCATGTTGTCGAATAACAGCAATAAACATTCATCAGAAAACCTGGTTTCTCTGCAGCACTGTGAAATCTGGTTGATGAAACTTTCGGGTGCGTGTATCATACAATGACAAACGTCTAGAATCTTACTGGTGTGATGAACACAAAATTAACGTTTGTTTAGTGTTCTTCCGCCGTCACAAACACCAGAAGCAAAGCCGAAAATTCCAAAATCATAAAATTTACGAAATTGACAGGAAAAAAACAATCCATTGGCTTCATGGAGATCACTTATGTCTAAAAATTACGGGGAGCATTGTGAAAATAACCAGAGGGAGTGCATTTGTAGAAAACTTAAATTTATCCCCAGGCGAGAAAAATCGTCCCGAGTTCGAGAGCGTTCTATCCATTCTGCTCAATTCTTTGTCCTTCAAACTACTTCATCCCTAATGTGCTGTGCTGTTTTATGGAAATCCTGACGCAAAAATAGTATCCATTTACGCATGTCAATTCCAAGGAATCTATTTCCATCTTAGTTGTTTAAAGACCTGATAGTAGAAATGCAGTTAGGCAGCTGCGTCAAAAGCTTTTCAGTCCAATTAATGCCGCAACATCGTATTACTAATCAAAATTTTCATTGAGAACTTCGTGAACTTTTTTTTAGCTTACTGTCAGTTTTGACCGACAATTCAAAAACTTGGAAGCTTTTTTAAATTTGACTGAAAAATGTCAAATATTTGATACTTTTTATCATATCTAAACCATATTCATAAAATTTAATGAATTACCGTAAATTGTACTCGTTGGATCCGGATAGAACCATATTTTCCAGTTTAGGCAGCTTAGGGCACGGTCCAACTGTAGAAAAATGAATTCCGTTACGTTTTTTGAGGCGGCAGGAGGCAAACATGTATGTGGAAACCACAACCAATCGGTTGCTAGTAATCAGCCCAGTAGACCTTGGGAAGACCATGGCCCATACGTTACAACTGTCGGTCAGTTTTGCTTTTCTTTTCGTTTGCAAGGCTTCAACAGGTCAGGGTCAGACATGGCTCAATCGCAGCATGAACAAGCTTTAATGTTCGAGGAGATTCGTGCTTCATATGTCTCTGTTCATGCGGTAGCTTTGGAGATGTAATCAGATCGCACTGGTTCGGTAATCTTTAGCCATCAAACTTTTTGCCTTCTTGAGTTCCTGGGGTGTAGCTCACTCAAAATTCAAACGTCTGTCAGCTTGGAGACCCGTAAGCGTTGCACATGTTGCCGCTCATCGGTATCGTCCACTTCCTTTGCTAGGACTAACGAAATTCCAATTGTGGTGTGCTTGTGCTCCGCTTGTGGTATCATTAACTTAGTCTACATAGGCCTAGGGCATTTCGAGCCATTGCTTGGAAATATGAATGCGAGCTGGACAGTTGACGGAGTTACTTCAATAACACAACGATACTTTTGGTATTCTCGGAAAAAAAACTTGTCTTTTGAGAAGACGTATAAGCTTGCTGAAAACTCCTTGACAGCCAGTGACACGTTTCGCACTTGTTAAGGGCTATTAGGTGGACGCAGTCCTCAAGTTTTCGTCACATTTATGTCCTATTTCAACCAAAATTGTCTGAAATTTGATCCATACCTACTTATGCATACCAATTTAATTCTGATTGGGGATTCACCCGGAACCCAGCAGAATCTCCCTGGTGAATGACGTTCTTCTTGAACTAAATTTGCTGCACCAGGCCACCTCACGTTTACTTGAACTAAATCTGCTGCACCAGGCCACCTCACGTTTCAATCGGTACGATATTCGTGATATCGCGATGTATTGTAAGAACATCAAAAATAGGGAAGCAGTTGGGTTTCAGATAAGTCTGCCGTCAAAACCAAATAGATAGAGTACATTGGTCGAATTTCCAAATCTGCTTCAAAAAAGAATATCGAGGGCTAATCAAAAGTTTCAGCCAAAGTTCGCAGAAAGTGACTGCATTAGAAGGACCAGGGTAAGGCCATCCCAAGATGATGAAATAGAGGATATTGAATACATGGATAACTGACTGATACTTCTCTGACGAACTTTTCTCATTGATGTTGGCGCCTCAAACAATCACTTTCTAGCCTTTTAGGATTCGGCAATATCATAATTTTCAAACAACCTGAATTATGTTACGACAATTTCTTAAAAACAGAGGGTAACAAAAAATATCAATCGCCAATGGTAATAAAAGGGTCTCAAGTAACCACCAGTCCTTGAATGCCACGGATCCAATTGTAACCACGTGAATAAAACAAAACATCCGTTGTTATGTCAAATCCAAAGCTAATCAAAGCGTTGTACTTAGAACGCCACGTTGAATGTAGACTAAATAGCAAGTTAAAATTCGGTGTATGGTCTAATCGATTTGTTTAAAAAAGCTTAACATGAATGCTAGGTTAGTGCGTAGAGTTTTTCTGGCTCTAAATGGTACGATAATTACTATGGTTTTCAGATAACATCGTTACGGCTACCCTGGGTATTCCGATTATTGTTGATCAAGAACCCGTGAGCCTTAATGATTTACGCAGAGTCGGTTATCAAGATGCACACTTGATAATGTAGACAACAAAAAGGTTTAGCTCAAACAGTCGAAACTTCGCCGAGGAATATTGATCGAATAACCATTTGAAAACAAGTCTGTCATTGTTTTACACTAATAACGTGGACAAAGACTAACCGCTTATACGGCTTCATGTTTAATAATTGTGCGTCACATTTCCAGTGCCCCAGTTTCTGCTTTATGGCCAAGGCCGATGCCTAGAACAGGTGACTGATATTTTCATAAGGGAAATTACTCACAAGGTTGCTGAAAACTCTTCGACAGCCCACGACCGGTTTCGCCCTTCTTGAAGCTCATCAGATNCCTGACGAGCCCCAAGAAGGGCGAAACCGGTCGTGGGCTGTCAAAGAGTTTTCAGCAACCTTGTGAGTAGGTTCCTCCATGAAAATACACTGCGATATCTCGAATATCGTCCCAACTGAATCATGAGGCGGCCTGTGTGCAGCACATTCAGCTGTAGAATATCATAAACGAGAGATTCCGTTGAGTCCCTCGTGGAAACCAAATTGATTTGCAAATGAGTGTATTTCTCGAAGGTGGCTGATATGTTTTTTTCAACAGTGACATGCTTAGAAAACCGCCCTAACAAGAACTATTGGGATGCTGTTGGCACAATTGTGACTAGTCCATCACAAACAATAGTGCAACAATAAAGAAACACCCTGCTTAATTCTCTGCCTCTTGCTATGTATGATCGGTTATTGGTAGGGTAAATTTGTTGGACATCCGGAAATCTGACTTTCTGCAGAATTAAGTTTATAAATTAAGATAGAGTATGTTCTCCGACAAAATGGCGAAAAGATTACCTTAGTCAACATTTTAGGATGAGAACATAAGTTCACTTTCTTGAACTGTGAAAATCTGTAGAAATGTGACCAGTGAGTAAATTATGTTATTATAGGGAAATCCTCGATATCCTCAACACAAGCTTCTTTTTATGACCAATTGAAACGACATAAACTTGCATGAGTGAAAATCGGTAGTGAGCAAGATGCCTTTGAGATCGCTTCGACTGGTTCTCTCATTGAATATTTGCCTTTTGTATTCACTGTGCGCACAAGTGACGTATCCTGGACTAGCTGCGGAACGTTAGCGTGCTAATTGTGGAGTTCTACGAACACATCAACAAACATCAGTAAGATCACCGGAGGTATAGATAGCTGTAATTTGCTGACGTCGCCTTCACATCCAACTCGTTTGAACGTTTGCCATTTTGTCTTGGAGCAGCCATTCATGTTAGTCTATCCCGCAAATCACGCAACCATCTGCAGCTAACTGAAGATGGTGCAGCAAGCATCGAGCACTCATCAAGGCATTTGACTAGGAATTCCTGAAAGACACATCAACCGATTGGTACATCCAGGACATTTATCGGGTGGTCGTCCAGATCGTCGGACAACCCAATCAAATCGCACATCCAGAACACGTGCGCCTGTTTACCAGCTTGTGCTGGTAAAATAGTGGAAACATGCTCACCCCGAAAGTCAAATTGCCGATGTGTAACTAACCCCCGACACTCTCGTGAATAAGTGCAGATGAACCCTAATGAAATCAAAACTCGAGCCTATTGCTCATATCTTTGATGTAATCTAGACAGAATACCTATCTCAGGACTGGAGAAGGGTACTCCATGTGAGGATGATGTACAGTGGTACATTGGTTACTTGAGATTCTTTGACATAAGAATAATTGAAAGTGCGATTGTACAATTCAGAAATTTGCCTTTAGTTATAAGAATGCTGTGGCACTTTCTAAAACAGTCGGAAAGAGTATGGAGAGAGAACTGCTTGCAACTTCCGCGCCAAAGTGTGCTCAGTTGTAGAAATGGGTAGCTGACTACTTATGTTGCACTATATTTGATAGAAAATTTAGTGGCAGTTTTTTTCCCCGCCTCACATAGACACGCGTGATGAAGCTTCAGATTTTCACCAGAAATCCCTATGAGGTGCCACAGCTTGCTGATTGTATGGGGGAATTCGAACAATTTAAAACAAGGTTTTGTCCCGTATACCACTAGTCTGTCTGACAAGTGATATTGACGGTTGGATAACCTAAGTTCCTTAGTTACAGAGGCATTTTTGCAGTTCAACGTAGGGCACTTTTCAAACTAAAATGTCACTCAGCCTTATTTAGAAGACTTATTGAGCGTCACGGATATCTCTGTATCGCAGAATATTTTTATAAGTATCACGAGTGTTTCTCACTTGAACGCAATAATCAAGAGCAATTTCCTCTTTCTAGCATGCTTCCAAAAATCAGTGGAATTATATGGTTTAGGAAGCTCGCATAATATCTTGAGCAGCTGGACTGCGTGTTGAATGAATTCTCAGATTAACATTACATTAATATTAACATTATACTCCAAGTTTTGGCTAACTTTAATAAGAAAACTGCTTTAAAAGCGAATGTTTGTCGATCATCGTTTAGAACTCTAGGTAATCATTAAGATGGAATGAATGCGGTCGTCCCTTAAAACTTCCACAGCTTTGTCGTAAAACTCGCGTCTTTCAGGTTCAGGTTGAGTGGCTCAAAGTTCACAGAAGACATACATCCGCTCAGAGAAGAGGAAACTGTGGCATCCTCAAGTCAGGCATTATTTGATTTTACTAATTTCAATACAAATGACCATGGAGGCCCATGCTATCTTTCAGTCTAGCATCGACTGAAGTTTGTTTGCATAGCATTTTTAACCGCTAAAGTGTATACTGTATTTGTCGGATTACGTGGAGTTTTGTTTCAAACGGAACATAAGTTTGAAGAAAAATAGAGGTCTCTGCCTATCTGATGAGCGCCACTGACCATGACCTATCTCTTGAAAGCTGATCCGAAAATATACAGTAAATTTGTGGTTCCAGAGTTTTTACTCTATACACACACACTCGTCTTTTTAAACCCACCAGTATTGTCGACACTCGGTGTGTGATGAACGGAAGCCCACACTTGTGATGAAATGGTCAGACACCCACAGCGCCAGTTGGCTTACATGAAATGTATACCAGATATTGTTTCATAAAAGGACAATCACGGATTTCCTACTTTCCTAACTATTTATATGTTCGTGCTGTTCCATACCTAACTCTATAGAAGCTACTGTCGTTCGCAGATCAGTCATGATTAAATGGAAGTTACCTTTTATTTGTGTTGTACCAGGGCACTAGACCATGCATATCGGCGAGTAACTGAGTATTTCCTTATGACGGTTCGCTCCGTATGTAGAATCACAAACAGAGGACCACTCGAAGTGTTTTTATTCCGGATTTCACACAGTTGAGGTATTTTTACGACACACGCGGCAACAACCAACAGGTATTTCTTGGGCATGGCGGTGTACATAAGCCCTCAAAACGCTATCGTATTACACGAAACAATACACTGCCTCTATTTTCGAAAATATTAGACTTCAGGATGAATCTTGAAAACGTGTGAAGTGATTCAGAAATTTTTGTGTATGATTCGTCGAGCAAGTGATCCTAACTTACGCTGAAAAGCCGGACGTACAATGTAAGTCTTCCGTCCCTACTGGATTATCTCACAAAACTCCAGGTTTACTCGGCCCGTGGCCTCCCAGTTAGTAGACCGGTCACATAACCATTTCGCTATAAGCGACTGACCAGTGGCGTGATTAACTCGCACTTAGACAAGATCTAGTGGCTTTCCTCGTTCGATTCGGGAAACCAAGTTACATAGGTTGCACCTTGGCTGGCTGCTTGACTCTCGACTTCGAACGCGGAATTCTTATTCCTTCAATGAAATTTTGTTTTTCTGATCTACTTATAGGTAGCTGAAAAGTTACCTCACGGGTAGCCAGTCAGTGGATCGCGCAAATGAAGGATAGGTGGAGCCAATCACTGGTCATCAGTCGCTGCTGGCCAAACGGTTATGTGATCAATCTACCAGCCGAGAGGTCAGCATTTCGACACTCCCTGAAGTTACTTAAGGTGCACACTCCTAATGATCCTAAATGAGGACAACGCAGCTGCATAGTTTTCCCCGGATTTCAGCATGGATTAGCCTTCCTTCCAAGAAGAAAGCTTCATTGGAAAATATTCCCTCCTCCTGGCTCTGACACGCTTTTCAAATCACAAGCTTCACTACACGTCTCAGCTGAATTGCAGTGTTCTTGGATTGGAAACAAATGAAATTTCTTACTTTGACGTCGTCCCATGTATCGCTTTCGATATTCTTACATGTTTCGCTTCGGTTTATGTGCAAGTGTTTGCCAACATGTACTCAACTTAAAGTCCCGTTTAGCCGTCATCAATGCCAAAATTTTCTAAATTATTCAGAGGCCGGCGATAATCCTTTCTTCTTACTTCGAAGTCGTATGATGTTTCTAATTTCAGAGGGGTGCAACCTTCTATAAAAACTTAAATGCGCACGATTTACATAACTTCCAAAATTGTCTTGCTATCAACCTGTACCTGAAGGTCACCACTGTGATATTTACCAAGTTACAAACCCTAAAGGCAGCTTACAGTTGCGGGTGACATGAGGATGTTGATTCTTCTGTGGTTTGTCCACGCTATTCAGTTGGGTTCATGTGAAAAACTTGGTAAGCTGTAACTCCCAGTTCTATATATTTATGTTTCTTACGTTTTAAGCACGTTTGCCGTAGTAGTGTGCAAGCAGTACCAAGCAGTAGCAAGCCGTAAGATCGATCCTTAAGCTGCATATGTTGGGCTTGCCATCAGCCTGAATTAAATTCCATTCTCTTGCAGTCTACCTAGTCAAGTAGATGCATCTGTATAGAAAACAATAATTGCTTCTAACCCAAATCCTAAATAGATGTTTTAGCCTAAAATCCTCGCCTCGTATCAAACCAGTGACAATCGAAACTAGTTCAAACCTACCAACGATTTATTTTCTATACAGACGTTGAAGTGATTCTGTGGACCCCTCTGGATAAAATGCAGGATGCAGACTACTGTGGAGTAGTAAGTTGGCTCACAAATAACGAATCATATTGTCATTAAAGTAGAGTATTTTCGTGAACTTTCCTTCTCAGCTCCTGATTGCGTTTTTTTGTACAATCAAGGTTTAGCTCAAGGTTTGCAACTCTCGTCAGACATTCGCCTCATGCTCAGCCCGATATCGTCATTATGTTGGTGAAAAAACGGTTGAGCTACATTCCTATTTATGGATTTTCATCTCCTCACTCACAACCTTTAGCGAATCATTGCCAATGCAGGAATTTTGCAGGAATGAATATCTCAACTGTTTCTTTCATCCAACTCGCCTCCTGTCAGGGCAGTCACTTCCAGTAACAGTGTACGTACATTAGAGCACAACTCGATACAATCAGTGTTTTTGAGTACAGCGCTTCGGACAGAAACTTCCAGTACCTTGTTGAGTGGTAATCACCTTCCGGCGCAGATGTGCTAGCTGTCCTGTGCTGTCAAGCGATTGCTGACATAATGTTCCATTCCAGCAATTGTGAAGAAGAGGCCAACAAGAGGAAGGTGGACAGAGTACGGAATGTTTTAATTTTCGATAAACACTCGTATTGGATGGATTTTAGCACCGTATTCACCCATTTTGTCAAGAGATCCAACAGAAGGCAGCTGTTTAGTTGCTGAAAATA